TTTTATATACTAAAATTATGACAAGGCATGTGCTTTAGGTCACTGATAGGTTAAACAACTCTTATTTTTTACCTTTAAATAATTTTTTTCTAATTCTATTTTTAGGAGTTATTTCAAATAGATTTGTTACCCACATAATAAATAGATAGTCAAGTATCTTTATTAAGCAGAAGCAAATAAAAATTCTTAAAACAATTATTTTTCCAAAGTTGCATTCACCTACCTGAAGGTTCTATATAAGGGTTGTGGTCTCAGAGCATCTCTAATCGCATGGGCTCCATCATAGCCCTAAAAACTACAGCTACTATAAATCATAAGCTTACAATGACAGAGGACAAAATTATTTTGAAGAGTGATTTAGAATTAAATTTGATTTGCTAGGAGGCACTATTAAAATTTCAGTTTTGTTTAATGCTTTAGTTGATTATTTCATCTATTCATTAATCTTTTGTTTTCATTTATACTTTAGCTGTTATTTATACCATATACAGATTTGAATAAATCTACCAATTTTCCCAGGTAAGTGTTGATCAGTGGTAAAGTCTTTAAAAATACTATTTGAATTTCTTCTTTGGCTTTAACTTCTCAGGCTCTTCATTTTTTCTTGAGATTTCAGACTTAATTGTCAACTCCATAACAAACATATAGAAACTTCAACATACAAGATCTATGAAACATTAATTACCATAACTAGATCTTCACAAGAACATGTCAAACTACTGTACGAAGTGAGACCTATGTGCTAAATAAGTGAATTGAACAAACTCTAACATGCACTAGTGAGTAAAACTACAACATAACAAGTCAGTCTTACAGGTAAGAGTCTTGACCACTAAGAATAAAAATCCCAGTTCACTTCAGTCTGTCACTTACACCTAAGTGGATAGTCATTGCCAGGTGATTTTGGGGTTGATTCCCTGGTAGTTTGACAGGAGACAATAAGCATAGATCATCAAACCAGCATGGGTTCATGCTTCAGTGAACATCCATCTGTGGCCAGTTGGATTCAGAATGTCACAGCTGTCTCTCCCAGCCATGTTTGGGCAGCATAAACAGGATTGGGGGCTTCATACACAAAGAAATCATGAGCAAGGAATTGAGTTGCCTGAGTAGAGACCTGCATTAAACACAAAGAAACTAACACAAAAGCGCCAAGCAGTCTTGACACACCGGGGTGAAAATTTGCCACTATAAAATGCAGGAACTAAACTTAGATCTTTTCATGTTTGTAATGAAATGATTAACCATCTTTAGACACTCAATAAACCTGATCCAAGTAACCACATGTATTATTTTGTTCAAAATTTTTAGTTCTTCACTATTGAAAGACTTTGCTGGACTCAATACCATATGTACAAAGCCAGACCTCAAATACAAAGCTATAGGTCAACACCTATGGGGATGTCAAAAACGCTGGAGATGTGTGTTAAACCTGGCCTGGAATCATCCACATTGGTGTAGACCTAGCAGTGCTCACTGATAAAGCAATCAACTCAAATTTTTCAACCTTTGCCATTAAATCTTTCTAACTGTCTTCAAAGGAAGACATAGAAGACTGCATTTCACTGACCAAGCCTTTCCTGATTGGAACGCACCCATCATCCACCAACTCCTCCTCTAATGCCAGCAAACTTCAGCAGGCTAAACAGAGTGTAGTGGTACGTCAACTGTGCCCCCTTCTTCACACTCATTATTTGATTAATGACCAGAGCTATTTCTGAAAGTTTCTTACATCTATGCCGGTTTGCTGCCACCATCATTATCAACGCATTAATTCTGGCCATAAGCATATCTTCTTTGAAATTAAATAACCTCCCATACTCCTGTGATTGGTTACCTTCTTATTATATGTTATCACCTTGTAGTAACTTCTGGGGGAGTGTTAAATTCTGTGAAGGAGCAAGAGCCCTGCAGCCGGAAATTCCTAGGTTTCTGAATGCTGTATTTTGAGTCTGGAACGTTCCCAACAGGTTTGGTCTCTAGTGCATGGCACTGTCAGAGTTGATCTTTAACATGCGCCTCCTGAGAGAGCTTCAGCTCGCCAGAGATCAGCCCTTGCGGAGACGCTAGGAGCCGCGCCCCTTCTCTTCTCTCTTAGATGCTGCTGCCCATGAATGGAGCACTTTTGCTCCAACAAGCACTTCTGCCAGTGCTGTAGGTGGCTGAGTTAGTTACATAGAAATATCTCAGGCAGTGAGTCGGGGCCAGGCCCTCTAACGAGCCTGTGCAGAAGACAACATACCTTGCAACTGTGGGAGAGACAGACACTTCCACTTCTGCTGTGGCTTGGACCTCAAGACAAAAGATGAAACAAATGCATCCCAATAACTCCCTGTATCTGTCACCTTGAAAAACCCAGAAGAGTCACTAACCGAACCCTGTAGAGCAAAACCCTGATCTGTATTCACGCCCACTTGCTACCTGACTTGCTTCCCCATTTGATTCTGACTTAATTAATTTTACCTACACAATTATGATTGTCATCTTATTGGTTTACCACTGTTTTGCCTCACCTCATGCCCACCTTGGGATCTTCCATTTTTCCTACCTTGGTCCTGTCTCACCTTATGGTTTTGCTCTATAAAAACTCCCTTGAAGGGGCCAGGGAGATGGTTCAGGAGAATAAGTGCTTCCCTGGCAAGCACAAGGGCCTAAGTTCAATCCCCAGTTCTAAAAAAAAAAAAAATCCCTCAAAAAAACAAGGTCCTGGGCAGCCCACTGGTGACCCTCTCTTAGAAGTAGCTTTCTTTCTTTCCCAGTAAATATATTCTGTGCTTAACCTCCATTCTCCCTACAACTCATTCTTTGATTTTAGAGAACACGAACCTGGCTCAGATGCCTAGCAGGGTGGGAGTTTCTTGCAGCTATATCCCCAGGACGGGCTATCATACGACAGGCTCCCAAGCAAAGAGCCAAGCCAACCATGAGCTAATGTCTCTGAAATTGTGAATGACAATAACCCCTTTCTCTACTCAGTCATACTGCTTGAAAATAATCTTTTAAATATGACTAGATTTTAGTGTATAATTATGCCACTGAAGAAGATAGTATATCCATATGTATCTGAAAACAAAGAAAGAAAATTTGTTTCACTTCTCTTCAAATGGATACCGCCAAACTACTTTTATTGTCTGTACCTTTAAGTCAAAATTTAGAGTTTTCCAAGGTTAAAAATAAAAGACCTCAAGACTAATTTTTGAATTTCAGAATTTTTGTGGTGAAACACCATTTTCTTTCCTAGTTGAGTTTGGTTTTCGTCAGCTTCACCAAAGAACAGGATACTTGAAGTCCACCTTGATGTTCAAAATGAGTGTGTCTTCTACTTCTAATGAGCTAAAGGAACACAGCAGGACACCTCAGATATCTTTACTAAAATAACAGAAAAGACAAAATTTTACAAATCTGAGCTTGTCACCAAGAGAACACTAAAAAATCTACAAGAGAATCCAGAGAAACACAAGTTACCTAAAGGTAATTTTATATCAAACTTAATTACATCTTAAGTAATTTCCAATGTGTTTAGAATTAGTCAAATGAATGCATATATAAACTGCCATCAATTTTTATTATTTTAAAGTGAATTGCAAGATAAGCCAGAAGACATTAGCTAACTTATCCCTCATAAAATGATTCCTCTTTCCAAACCATTTAAAAGGATATAAAATAGTTTGAAGATTTTGTTGCTGTTCAAAGTAGGACAAAAGGCCAGCCAGGTAGCTCAGCAGACTAAACCGCCTGCTTAGGCAGAGCACAGGGCCCAGGGCTCAATCCCCAGCCTGCCATGCTGGCCCTAGCCCCCCTAGGGTTCTCTGAGATGGCAACTGAGACTGGGCATGGTGGTGTGCACCT